ATATACACGCGCAAGGAATACATGCATGCGATCAACGAGTATTTAAAACAATTTAAATACTTGGATCGCAAATCATATCAACAGTTACTCCAAGTGACACAAAGAAACCAATTACACCTAATTGCTATGGGCAGAAACGGCTGCATGTTGCGAAAAGAGGGCAGAAACAGCCGCATGCTGCGAAAAGATCTAACCACGGCAATCAAAGCTTAGGAATTGAAAGGAATTGTTTAGACAAATAAACATTCCAGTAATCAGACAGCTTCAAGGAAATATTAGAAACTGGTAACTGGTAAACGTTTAGATTTTTAAGCGAAAAAGTCATGGTGTTTCAGGAACAAGACATCAAGAACGTATTGGAAGAACAAAAAGAATGACTATTAGAGCATATAGATCGATTTACCCACAACGGATTGGGATGGGTAGTCAATGAGATCGTTGCATTTTATATCAACATGATGCTTAATGCCCGTTGGGTGGAAGTTACATTAAATTACCCGGATACACAAAACTTAAAGAAGCGGTTATAAACGTACAAAATAACAATTACGAATGCATACGTTGGGCGATATGTGCTGCCCTTAGACTTAATACCGACAAAGTCAAACGTCAAATCGAAACCAATCCAAATTACAAAATACACAAGGACAGAATCACAATGTATAAGGCTGATGGATGAAACTTTTCAAAACAGGACCGTCATTCCGGTATTTTTAAGCATGTTCGTCCTTCAGAGGCAAAGATGACCACTGACTTCAGGAATGGCATCACTTGGAGGTTGGATGAGTACGAAGGTGGCTGATTAGGCCGACCTTCGCACAGAACTGCCTACTACAGTGGGGGCAGGGAATTTTTGGAATTGAACAAGGATGGAGGGTGGAACTGATGCGCTCCTTCCTTAACTGACGTCGGTGTTCCTTGACTCTGATGTGGTTTTCCTCATACTCATCCACACCAGCATTCACAAGGGATCACCAAGCAGAATGGTCCTCAGCAAATACTTCCCAGGTGGCTTGGGAGATGTTGCATGCTTTGGGAGAGGCCTTTAGAGTGTCTTTGAAGCGCAGCTTTGGTCTGCCAACTGCGCGGGCTTGCCAGAAATCAGCTCCCCATAGAGTAGTCTCTTGGGGAAGCGACTGTCATCCATGCAGTGTGAATGGCCAGCCCACTGGAGCTGAGAGCACATCAAGATGGCGTGAACGCTCTCCATCTCAGCACGCTGGAGCACTTCAGTGTCAGGAACTTTATCCTGCCATTTGACTCATACCAGAGTTGTAAGGCATCTCATGTGAAAGGCATTGAGCTTCTTTGCCTGCTGGCTGGAGACGGTCCACGTTTCACAAGCATGGAGCAGTGATGGTAAGATGACTGCTCTGTAGACTTTGAGCTTGGTGTACTGGCTCAGTTCTCTCTGCTCCCAAACCTTGTCTTTAAGTCTGCCAAAGGCAGCACTGGCTCTGGCAATTCGATAGGACACCTTCTCGTCGATTTTAACTGAGGGTCACAAGGTGCTTCCAAGGTAGACAAACTTGTCTGCTGCAGGCAATTTCTGGCAGTGATATAAAGCTCAGCATAAGGGGCTGAGGGGGCTGGCTGATGCAGGACTTCTGTTTTCTTAGTAGAGATAGTAAACCAAAATCCTCACAAGCTTTGGAGAACTGATCCATGCTGCCTTGCATCTCTGACTGCGAACAGGCATTCAGTGCACAATCGTCCGTAAACAGGAAATCACGGGCAGTGTCAGTGTGTACTTTAGTCTTTGGGGTTGAACAGCTTCCTGTCAGTGCGGTATCAAAATCAACACCGATGTCGCCGCTGTGGAAGGCGTCAGTCAACATGGCAATAAACATCATGCTGAACAGGGTGGGGGGGCAGCACGCAGCCCTGCTTCACCCCATTGGTGACAGAGAATGGCTGGGAATACACTCCGTCATTCTAAACTCTAGTGCTCATGCCATCGAGAAACTGCTGGACCATTGTGATGAAATTGGCGGGGCAGCCACACATGGCCTTGATCTTCCACAGGCCCTCACGGCAGACAGTGTCAAAGGCTTTTGTCAGGTCCACGAAGGTGGTATAGAGACCAACGTTCTGCTTCTGGTACTTTTCCTGTAGTTGGCAACTTAGCGAGCTGTGAAAATCATGTACACGGTTCCACGACCCACACGAAATCCACACTGGCACTCAGGTAGCAGGACGCGGGCCATAATCTTCCCGGCTATGGAAAGAAGGGAGATACTGCAATGGTTGTCACATGCTTTCCTGTTACCTTGCGCTTGTACAGGTGGATGATCGAAGCATCTATCAGATCTTGCGGCAATTTTTCTTGAGTCCACGCGGAGCAGAACAGGCTGGCGAGGCTCTCCACGAGTTTTGAACCACCAGAAGTGTACATGTATATCTCAGCTGGGATAGAGTCAGCACCAGGTGCTTTGCCACTGGACAAGATATGGCCTTCTTCACCTCTGCTTTAGTCAGGAGTTCAGCCAAAGTGTCATCGACCGGTACTTGAGGCAGTCTTGAGATTGCTTCGTCGTTAATGGTTGACGGCCGGTTCAGGACGGTGTTAAAGTGCTCTGCCCAGTGCTCCAGGATCTTTTCCTTGTCCATGATCAGCATGTTCCCATCAGCACTTAAAACAGGGGAAGATCCGGACGTGGTGGGACAGTACACGGCCTTGAGGGCACTGTAGAAGTTCTTCATGTCCTTCTTGTCTGTGTAGTTCTGGATGTCATCGGCCTTCGCATTGAGCCATTGGTCATGCATGCAGCACAGCTCAGTTTGGGCTCTTCTTTTGGCCGGTATTTTTAAACCACTTGGAAAATTATGACGCCCATTTAATTATGCAAGGTCTATCTGCATCAAGCAAGGACAAACTGTTTGTATTCCTAAAAACTCTGAAAAGTACATGTACATTTCCTTCGAGTTAGGCTAACTTTGGTTTTACATTCGTTTAATTTTATGGGCACTTCACTCAACACGTTAATCAAATCATGCCCTCGAGATGCTTCTAAATTACTCCGAGTCCGTTTCCCAAACAACATAGATCTGCTTTTGCAAAAAGGCATTTATCCGTATAAATATGTAGACTCATTTGAAAAGATTGAAGAAATGAGTTTACAGGCCAGATACAAATTTTACAGTTCACTCTGACAAGAGAGCGTCTCTGAAGAAGAATGTAGTGGCACTCAACAGGTCTGGCAAACTTTCGAATGTTGCACCTTGGGTGATTATCACGATCTCTATGTAGAAACGGACGCGTTGTTACACGCGTGCGTCTTTCAAAACCTTCGCAAACCTGCATGAAATATTATGGCCTTGAACACGGCAATTATTATACAGCACCCAGTCTTGCATGGCACGCACTTTTAAAACATTCTGGCGTCGAACTTGAGCTACTAACCGACTTTGATCAACATTTATTTTTTGAGTGGGCCAAATGCTGAGGCATGTCGAGTTACACCAAGGCAAACAACAAATATTTATTAGATTAAGACCCAAATAAACCCGAGACATATATCACGTAGCTCGATGCATGAGGCATCCTCGATGCATGAGGCATCCTCGATCCTCGAGGCATGAGTCAGTGTCTACCGTACGGTCACTTTCACTGGGAATGAATTTTGGCCAAATTTACTGCAGAATACATTCGAAGACTTTTGCCTTGTTCTTGAACAGGCTACATAGTCGAAGTGGATCTCGATTGCCCACAAGACCTTCACGATTTACTCAATGATTTACCATTGGCTCCTGATAACGAAATCATCCCAGAAGCATGTTTTTCTGAATATCAAAAAGAGCTTCAATATCAAGAACATCCTCCCAAAGTAGAAATACTTGCGGCCAAGTTACACCCAAAAGAAAAATATAAATAATATAAATTCAAAAATGCTGCAGCTACATTTGCAATTGAAGCTCAAACTCAAAAAAGTTCATCATGTGTTGTCTTTTGTGCAAAAACCTTGGATGAAAAGTTACATCCATAAAAACACTGAGTTGCGCAAATGAGCTTCATCTGACTTTGAAAAAGATTTCTTCAAATTGATGAACAACTCGGTTTTTGGCAAAACAATAGAAAACCAGTGTGATCAAATAGACGGACATCTACTACACGCCACACGGAGGAGATACAAAATGTTTTCAACGTCTGTCTTGTCAACCAAGTTACAACCATATTATTCCCCGAGTGTGATCTCTCGTTTGTCGAAATGTAAAGAATAAAAACCATATTGAAGAAGCCCATTTATTGTGGCGTATGCATTTTAGATTTATCCAAAACATTCATGTACAACTTTTAATACAATACGTTGAAACTCTTTGTTGGTACATGTCAAAACCAACAACATATATACATATATTACCAGGAAAAAAGATCACTTTGACTTGAGTAATTACCTGACAGATCCTCCACTTTACGACGCCAAAAAAAAATCATAATCAGAAAGATGAAAGACTAATTGGGTGGAACTTGTGCCGGAAGCAGTGTGCCTACGATCCAAAATGTCTTCTATTTTGTCACAAGACCAAAATTTGAAAACTATCAATATAAAACTAACTCTGTGCGATGAGAGACCATGAATATAGTGAGAGATGCAACCAGTGGCAGCATGTAACAATGGAATTTCACTAAATAATTCAACTCCGGCTGTTCACATGAAACTGTACAGGGCCAGCTGTAAGAGGCAATTGATCATTGGTTGAACTGTTGTCATCACTCAAACTCAAAGTTTACTTTCTTGCAAAGTCAGAAAGACATATTCCAAGTGGGCGTTGTACATGTGGATAATTCCAGAAATTAGAGGTCCATTTTTTCTGTGTCCCTGTCAGAACATTCAGAACACCTTTTCTAATTTCCAACAGTGATGAATTAATGCACATTCTTTGCCAAACAAATAGTAATAGTTTGCAATCAATTCTGGTGATATTTCCATGTCAAATAACAAAGGTCAGATGAAACAGGGACACAAAAAATGGCACACTTTTGGACCTTTAATTTCTGGAATTAACCATACATGAAACTCAATGCTGTTTCCAATTTGTAATTGACCTTTGTGACTACACGAAATAGTTTGAATATATCCATGCCCTGTACATGAATTGTGATATGAAAAGGTAACAACTTACCATATCTTTAGCATTGACATCAGCACCATGTTCTATCAACAACTGAACAATTTCTTTATGACCTTCTTGGCAAGCCAAATGAAGAGGTGTTCGGTCTACTTTTGTCCTAGCATCACGACTGACTCCTGCTTTGAGAAGAACTTCTGCAGTAGGTACATGACCAGCATGTGCAGCAAGGTGGAGGGGAGAGGTACCAAGCTGTACATAACAAAGTTTGAAAGCCTACAATTATTAGGACTCTACCCTGCTGGTCAATAGAATGAGCAATGATTAGGTACTGTTGGTCTTTTTTACGTGGTACTTGTTCATGACAGCTCAACAAGAATTCAGAGTACAGCTCAGGTTGGCTAGTTCTACAGTAAGCCATTAACACCTTATGTATCCATGAAATTCAATCTGAATTTACATTCTATAGCTTGAGATGAAATTACTGAGGTCAAACTATTGGGCTTTAAGCCCACCTGTACGCGTATTACATTACTAGAACTCTAACTGCACATTACCTCACATAGACTTTGATAATGTCCTAAGAGTAGACACTTTGAATTAGTGTCCATATTGTTGAACATTATGAAATAAAATGAACACAGTTCTAGTGATGTACTCTATATAAAATGCACTAACAAGGCATACACGATCATCATACTGCATACATGCAAGTGCATTATTGGAATGATGCCTTAAAAAGCTTTCATAAGATGCATGCAGCATATGCTGTTGCGTTGTTTACACAGAACAAAAGAAAATACTCATTCACTCATTGCGAATTTTGGTTTATAGAATACGGGCTTGGAAGACACATTCTAAAATGCAAATGCAGATATGCGAACAGCCCTATAAAATGTACAAAATGTTGAATTTTCTGAAGATTTGCACATAAACATGGATGTACCGGTACATGTACCTAGCAAGCTTCACTTTCCAGAGTGAGTTAGCACTTTAGTGACTATAGCTCTAGGGGCAAAATGGACTCACGGTGAAGGCAATAATTTTACAACACTGTTCTAAAGGCTGAAATGGATTTAGGACTTTCACACAACCAATTTTGAAAAGGGAAATAAAAGTTTGCAAAGACCTACCCAATCAGTTGTAAATGGTGCTCCATTGGCCATAAGAATCTTCACTTCATCTTCAAGGCCCTGTCGAGAAGCCTCTAGTAGCTTCTTACCAAGATCAACAAGAGACATCATGAGATGGGATTACATGCACCTGCAATCTTTTGAAACAAGATCGAAAATGTAATATAACATATTTGCTTTCTCTTCTGTTACACATTATGATTCAAGTACATGTGATACAACCTGAAACTGAACTGTGTAGGATTTATAGGGATTGCAAGCTCCATGTTTGCAAAGGTATTCAATCTAGCAGTGAAATGTGCAAAGGCTTCATTCTGTCCATTCAACAGATGTTCAATGTGTACATAAAATAGGCATGCATGCAGTTTATCACAGTATACGACTATCACAGCTGAAATGAACTTGCAAATAACTTAAATATTTATGATTCATGAAAGACAGGAAATACAGGTATGATAGCATCAACAATAATGGTAAAGCAAAAAAATATTGCTTGCACTTCACATCAAAAACTGGATGACAGTAACTAAGAAGTACTGTTCCTTCCAGTAATGGATGACAACAGTTTTTAACTATGTATGTGCAAACACAGTGAAACAATCAAATATGCTTTTAAACAATAAGACTATAGGAATTCACAGGGCTAACAAAAAAAAGCCTTCTGAACCTCTGATTCTGAACTGGACTATTTTTTGTTGAGATTTTATTTAATTTTCATTCATGAAGACAATGGTAAAAGTGGTAAGTTACTAATCAAATTACAAGGATTTTATCATTTTTATGACCCTTTCTATTCCTTCTTATTTAAGGGAACATCTTACCAACATTCACTATTTGTACATTCTTTTAAATGTCAAATGAAAATCCTATACACAGCAAAACACGCCAAACATTTAAGTGGCCAACTTAACTCATTCCAGCTGAGAAGATTCTCCTGCCATTTTAAGGTCTAATTTCACATTACAAGGAGACTTTCATTACAGTTTTACATCCAAAAGGAAGACAGGTGATTTCAATTTGAAAATAATCTTTCTTTCATGAAGTGTATATTTTGCTGTGAACTGGGCCCAATTTCACTGCACTGCTACTGTGGAATTCTACAGTTACGAGGCATCATTGGCACAGAATCTATTTCACGGGCTTCGTATGTGATAATTCTACACTTAAATGATTAGTGCAGAAATTCTGCACTTAACCCCTTCATGCCGGGAGACAGTAAGAGCCACCATCAAAATTGAGATCCTCAGCCCGCTTTTCAGCAATTATTCTCAGCCCATGCTCGAGCAAACATGGTGAAAGAAGGCAGACCCTGGCTCTTGTATATGGCGATTGGCCTTTGTGTTTGGAACAGAAATGAAAAGACCGAATTTGCATCATAATCACCAACTTCACAATAGTCCCCACTTTGAAAAGAGGCAACAGGAATGTGGAATTTTGAGTAGAGCCACATGCCACCGAACAATCAGCCTTTCACTGTGTAATTCAAAGCATGCAGAGCACGCAGGGCCTCAAACCGAGAATGTGCGGTTTGGCAGGTGGCCTTCGTGGCCAAGCAAGGCTTGAATTCTTGGAGTCGGCTTTTGGAAAAAAATTCCCATCTTCAAGGGGTTAAGGGTCAAATTGCCACTTACAACAGAAAAAAGTGGCAATTGGTCACGGTCGCCATTTTCAAGAAAGATGACCACGTATAATCTGCAACCGGCAAAATTCTCATAAAATTGTTTCACTAAAACGACACAGGGCCCGGTACAGATTTAAACCCGAAACAATTATCTCTTTGTTAATTTGTTCAATTAAAGGGGCCTCAGAAGCTTGTCGTTCTTCACTGTAAGAGGATGCGAGAGCAAGGTCCATTGCACTAGTAACCAAGGAAAATGTCTTCTTCAGTTTTACACTTTCAGCCTCCATTATTCAATTGCAAAACACAGATGCCCATTGACAAATATTTCCTGCTCACAGCAGCATGAATTTTTTTCAGCCATGAAATAGGAGCAAAAAAGCAAGAAGCTTCTGCTACTGTAAGCACTTATTTTTCACTTACGGCAGCAGTGCCTTGAAAGTAGGCCCTGGTTGCATTTATATTTTTGTTAACCAAATTCCCTACCCCTGGAACAGCGCAGCCTATCAGGCAACCTCTCTGCAAGACAGCATGATGAGGCTAAATACCAAAATTAAAAAACAGAAAGCCAACACAGCATATAAGAGGGTTGCAAAACAAACACAACAGCTTTGACAACCGAATAAAATGGCAGACTAGGCAAGTGGCAGAGAACTCATAAAAATGTGGTGCGTGCTCTTCACTGCCAGTCTGCAAACTGAGTGGGTCTAGAAGGAATGCTGAGCACATGGTGCTAAATCAAAGGGGCTCTTTGTTCAAGGGTCTAATCACTGTGAGAATGATGTTACCTTACCAGGGTGAGGATCTAGCTAAAAAAAAAAAATTGTTTTCCACGGGCTGGGAACTGAAGTTATCGTACATGTAGATGATTACAATCATCCTCCTTACAAAAACACGGTAGTCTAGTATTTTCCACTGCATCCCCACCACTCTACTGCCAAGCTGCTGGATCCAACACTGCACATTCAGGAACTAAAATTGCACAGGACTACATATATAGTACTTTGTAACAAGTGTGAAGTGAAATACAGTCAAATCACAACAATTTGAACCTCTGGGGAACGGCTTAAAAATCAGTTATCCAAATTTCAAGCAACCAAAAGTTTCCAGCTCATGGAGTCATAACAGGCCTTCACATGACATACATGTAAATAATCAAAACCAACTTGTTTCATGATGGTATGTTTTGTAGTTATTTTCTTTCTCTTTTTTAATTACACTGGTGTATACATGTATATAGTTTTTTGCTCACAAGTTATTGTTTTTGTAAGATTTTATGTTTTTGTTACCTAAAATTTTATGTTGTTGTTACCCTAAATTTCTTTTCTACAGATAACCACGCAATAAACCACTTAAATGTACCTTTGTGGGACAAAACTTTCATGTGGTTTGATTTATCGTCGTCACTCACGGTGCAATACACAGGGCGCAACGTCATATGCAGGTCACTATCCACCAAATGTACACTTCATGTATTTCACAATCAACGTGAAAATTAAATGAATTGCAAACAAATACAGGTAAGTTTTGTGGGTTTCAAAATCTTTTGAATACAAAATATTAGTGTACAAAATGTCCGTTTCAAGGTGATTGTCCGTTGTCGGAAATAGACTTCACAACTGGCAGATCGTTAACGTATGCGTACGCATATCTGTTTGCATGTGAAACCTCTCTATTAAGGTTAACTCCAACACAAAGGTGCATTTTTAAGATGAGCATTAAAACAAACTGATTGCAGATACCCTTAAAAAGACATACGCCCTAGTTCTGGCTGACAAAAAAAGCCTCTCTTGGAAATGAAAAAAAATAAACAAATAAGGCCTGGCCGACTGGTACATGTACACTGTACTTCTCATTGTTACAGATATATGCAAAAAGGTGTGAGGATGCGGTTTATTTGGAAACTCATTTTCTTTAACAGGAAATTGTGATTAAAATGTGTCTTTTTGTGCATGCTGTAGCCCCTCCATTTAATTTCCAATGTCAACATTTTTGAAATATCAAGTGAAGCCAGCATTTCCTTCATTGAAATAAAGCACAAATAAGATGATTTTACAAAAACTTGATTTTTGAGCTTTTCAGTCAAAATCCACACTCATACTTGTGTACAAATTAATCAGTAATAAACATCTCAAAATATCTCCGAGAATCAATTTTGTTTGCTTTGCAGAGTCCAATGGAATCCAAAACTTATATCAAAATATTTCTTATGGCATCCTCTCCCAGATCACTACAAAAATAAAACAGAAAATAATATTTGCAAAATTTCTTTGCCTTCCTATCATTGTCTCCTCTCTATGGCAGGTTTCTACAGGCTTGTGAGATACAGTAGCTAGGGTGCTTTTGAGGAATCCTTGGCGTCATTACCAGATATAATTAGGCCTAATTAAGAGTATTATAGGCCTATGGGCAGCATGAACATCTGGTACTCTCGCAAAATGGCAGGTAGTAACCAATGAAAACAGTAACTACATGTATGGCGATGTACGCAAGCACCCGCCAGTTTCATCATTTCTTTGATCAGTACATACATACGCATGTTCGTTACGGCTAGTTGTTTTCATTGGTTGCCAAATTCCCAAATGTCTGCGCCACCCCAATGAGTTCATGGAGCCATGGTGAGTTTTAGTTCTATCACAGATAGAGCAAGGATAGACATGATACTGTTATAGACAAACCATGGCATGCCAAACACATGACAAACATTGAGTGGCTTCTTACACTGTGAAACCATGGAGGGTTCCTTCCTCCATGGTGAAACTGGCAATATTAATTTTATAGCACAGCAAAATCCGGAATTTTCCATCGCCAAGTGAAACGGAAAAGCCCAGATTTTACCACTCACCATGCTCACAGAAAATTCATAGAGGGACTGCACTTCACGTTTTCCAACGGATCTTACCATGGAGGAATAAAACACATGATCTTACCACGGTAAAACAGTCATGGGAACCAGTTGCAATTCGCAAACGGTAGGCCTAGCCCTACATCCATCCATTGCCCTCCGGAAGCAAAACATTGTGCAGACAGATGAGGTTCGCTTCATGCTTACTAATTACAAGTCTATGCCTAATTGTACCATTGTACTTACCAACTCTATCTACTCGTTAATGAAGCTTCGTGCCAAAAACTATCAAAATATAACGGAATCCTTCCAAAGTACATGTACATGTAACTTAACCCCTGCAAGCTAAGTAAGCCCACTTATGTACATGAGTACATCGGAGGTCCGATCATGCTTATCAAGCGCGGGCATTAAGCATTGAGCATTATGCCGCGCACAACGTACGAGGGTACGGAAAGACTGTAAAATCAGCACTGTTCAGGGCCCAATAAAATCCCATCCGTGAGGTTTCTGAAACACAAATCTAATTATTGTCTTCTCCCTAATCGTTTTTTTTTTGTGTGGTTTAACCTATTACATTTTAAATTATTCCTACAAAACTAAATACCCAAAGAAAGTGATTTTCAAGAAGTGTGCATGTAGCTATTTTCCAAGTGGCAACCCTCAACTTTCGGGGGCACTGTAGGACCATTTTTCAACAGTACTTTTAAGCCGTTTTGCTCTCAGATGGAAGTCTAAAGAACCAGGGAGATGATCCTGACAAAGATTTACACAAGCTCACAATTTTGGGGGCCAAACAAGCTCCTTTTTAAAAGATAATGCCGGTCACTTTTAATGCTAATACGCTGGCCAAAAATTTTCACTTGAATTAGTAGACTGCATCAAAGATCGTATATAGCGCCCTGGCCCTGTACATACAGTACATGTAGCGCGGCGGCGCTCTACGACTCAACGACGCAGCGCTATACAATCTTTGCACACGGTACGAGACCATTGATAAAAGACTGGATAGTCATCCCGTCCAGACCGTGTCGCTCGTATGCGTCTTTTCAGGAAGGTAAACAGCGGGCGTTGCAAATTTTGTTACGTGGTGCATTTTCAAACGGGGTTTTTTAAAATCTGGTTGAGGTTGTTGTACTTCAATTGTCAGATTTCAAAGAAAAACTTAATTCTGCACATGGAATGGATAACTTTGGAAAGAATAATGGTTGAGGTGTGCGCAGAAGTGAATTGCTGGAGATTTATAGCAAATACAGTTTGGAAGAAAGGACAGGCGCACCCGCGAACTATTTGACCCGCGCCATGTTGGAAGCGGTGTCCTTGCTGCGCCCCTGCATTTTGTGCAGGGCACGAGTGGCCGGGGATAAAGTTACGTCCTCCGGAACACCTTCGACTTTTACACCTTTTTAATTTCACACAACGCTAATGTTGGTAAATGTTAGAAGCATTCAGATGGTTGTAGGTCAACTCGACCGTTTGCCAACTCGACTCCTGACCAGCTCGACCGTCGACCAACTCGAAATATTTGCAGAATTGACACCACAGCCTCCAGTGAAACATAAATAGACCCATTAATGTAAAATTGTTAAGGTCTACGACTCTGATTAGAACTGAAACACGGTAATTTATTGTGAATTACCCAATACATTGAATGGTACGGTCATATTATCTGTCGACGGATATGTTAAATGCTTTGAGGACTTGATACCAATGACAGCTGTGAACCAGTTCAAGTACTCCCATCCATCACAGTGATGTTTTTGTTGTGGATAACAATGATGAATAAACAACCCTGATTCTGAGCTTCACTAACATGTTTTAAAGTAGATTCAATAAGTGAACATTGCAAATGCACACGATTGCTAAGTCGTGGCGCTTCGGTAATTTTCATCCCAATGCTGTATACTGT